ACAAATTATTTGTTAAAAAATAAATATGACGACAAATTAGCTGTCAGCCGGAATTTAAATCATTTTATTTAAAATTTCTGATATGGAAAATCTGATCCTTAATATGAGCTCATTCGTGATATCAATTGAAAACGCCGGCAGCTATTTTTCAATGCAATGTAATATTATTTATGTATTTATTCCTATATATAATATAGGATAATAACTGCTTAAACTGGTTGCTAATGCGCCCTGCAAACATATGTTTTTTATAGATACTAAAAATATAAAAGGCTGACCAATTAATCACATAATACCTATAATTGTCCAGGCTGAAGCAGCTGTAGTAACATTATATATTTTAATACCCTAGCAGAGTGTATTATAATGTTGCCAGATATCGCCAGGTCTATCTAAACATTTGTCCGTCCGTCTGTTTCTATGCGAACAAGTCTCTCAGTTTTCAAGCTATATTCTTGAAACTTTGCGTACATACAGCGGAACAGGCCAGCTGGGAACATTGTATCATACAAATGGTAACCATTTTTATACCCTGAACCCATTAAAAATGGGTATACATACCCTATTGTATTTGTGCAAAATCCAAATGAATGAAACAGGTAGAAGGAAGCATCTCCGACCCCATAAAGTATATATATTCTTGATCAGCATCAATAGCCGAGTCGATCTAGCCATATCTGTCTGTCCGCATGTATGCACGCAAGGGACTCAGCACCTATAAGAGCTAGAGACCTGAAATTTTAGATATAGGTACTCCTAGTGCCTGCGCAGATCGAGTTTGTCCGATAATCGATAGCTTAGTCCGTTTCCAAGCAAGAGCTAGAGACACCATGCTTGATATATAGCTTCTAAAATAGAATATATATATATGCATTTGATGTTGGAAGAACAGGGTTCAGGGTAACCCCTAGTCGGGAGCTCCCGACTAGAACCTCTTACTTGTTTATATTAGTTAACATGACCAGACTCAGGATTTATTAGCTCCAATATGATCGTCATATACAATATCTTACCTTAAGGCAAGCTTTTCAGTATTCAAAGATAATTTCATCGAACTCAGCATATACGAGCTTCACTATTTTCACTTATCTGCCAAGGGCAAATGTCTAGGGTATTTAATCTTCGGCATTCCGAAGATATCCGCAATTTCTCGTGTATATATTTCTGTTCACTATTTACCAATATTATTTCGATTTTTCTTAAACAAATTTGATCAATATTTTGCAGGATTATATTTATATATTAATTATATTCTAATACTCAAAACGAGCCAAGGCTGAAACCAAAACCCTGTGTGTAAAAATGCAGCAAACTTTGCTTAAGGGCGAGCCTTGGTGCGTGGTTCCATGAACCGAACCACCGCCATCTCTTGTGCAGGCTCAATTAGTTTTGTACATTATCGATATTTACTAGAGATGAGAGTCTGACCGATTATTCGACAGTTGCCGCTCGCATGCAAATCCAACCCGTTCTGGGTCCAAAAAGAGTTGTTTGCATTTGCTAAACACAATTAAATTAAAGCTTTTGATTGGGCCAATTTATGCACTCACCATTTTGTGTTTTCGTTTTGACATAAATATAACTAATTTGTTTAACGAGCTAAATCACGTTTTACGGCTAATTAGAAAACTTAATTAGTTGAACGTTTGCGGCTGTCAGCATTTAATAAATAAATATCCGCAGACCAAAAATGTTAAAGCGGATTTAATGCCCAAAACTAAGAGATTTAAACAAAAACTCAACTTAAATAAATATACAAAATAAATACAAAATTGTTTAATAAATGCGTAAAAATGCTTAGCAAAACATTTTTGCAAATGCGCCGAATTAATTAAAATGTTGCTTTTGCGACTTTGTGAAATGCGAATTTCGCATCAAATATACAAAATTCATGCCTTTTATTTTTATTTTCCCTCCCTCTCTATTCAAATATATTAGAGGAATAATAAAAAGGCGCTTAAACTCATTTTTGACTATCAAAATAACAAATGTTACAGATTTACATATTCCCTAAAATATTTGTTGTTGCATATTTCACGCAAAACAATTGAACAATTTGGGCAAACAATTTTTAAATTAAATTAACTTTGAGCTTTGACCCAAGAGAAGCGAGACAAAGCTTTAAGTGAAATCGGACAGAAAGTACAAGGGCTACTCTTAAGTTCTTCACGCATTCAAACAAGTCTGTGTGGATACTACAATTGCTTTAAGAAATCCCTCAGGCTTACTAGATTGCATATTACTGCTCCATATTGCCTTAATAGTTGCACTAAGCAGCAAAAATAGCGACACGTTTTAGATTTAAAAAATTTGTGGAATTTATATACAACTAATTTCCACGGCCTTAAGCACATGTGCATGTACGTGGAGAGCTCTTACAACAAAAGTAAAATGCCGTACAAAAACAACAACAACAACAACATCAAGGGGAGCAAAGAAAATGCCTGCAACTTTTCATGCACAGAGGCAGGCGTGGAACACAAACAGAAAACCAAGTAACAACAACAACAACAACAACAACAACGAGGAGATGGCACAAAACTTCAACTGACAACAAGACAACAAGGACAAGGCTAACAACAGACAGCAGCAGCAGCAGCCTGCAAAGCGGGTGGGGGGGGGGGGGGGGGGGGGCTGGAGCGGGCCTCAAGGAGCCAACTGCGGACAGGAAGAGCAGCAATCGTTGGGGGCAACTGCTGCCATGTTAGGAGCACGCAGCGAGACGGTTACAGCATGGCAAACAAGATGAGAATGACTTGCAAGAGGGCGGGCGGGCTATAGAGGAGCATGTAGGGTGCAGGGAGGGCGGTGGTGCTGGTAGAAACCGGGTCTAGTCGCACTGGTAAACTTCTGCAACTAATCCTGACTGATGTTGCGACAATATATAGAAAAGCACAACATATGCTACAGCCGTTTCGCAGCTACGCTTTGCTGCCTGCTGCCCCTCTCTCTCTCTCTCTCTGTCTCTCTCTCTCTCTTTCTCTCTCGTGCTCTCTCATTTTCTCCTGCAGCCTTTATCTGTCGTCTCATCTACTGCCACATTGGCCGCTGTTTGCCATTTGTGCCAAAGATTTATGCGTTAGCGCAAAAGTTGCATTTCAAATAGGTTTCCACTAGAAAAAAAAAGGAGAAAGAGCGACAAAAAAAAGCAACTAAAAGAAAAATTCAAGGAGAACAAATTCTGTTTAATATATGAAAATAATACGAATTATATTGAAATATATGTAACATATAATTTTATTATAATAATTATTTTTTTATATTATACTTATTCTGTTTCATTTATTTTATTAGTATATAATTATTTATATTTTCTTTAGATTGCTTGTAATTATTGTAATTATAATTATTGTTATTGTTTATTAGTTTATTATTAATATTATTAATAATATCAATTATAAGTTATATTTTTATTGTTTTAACTATTATAACATTGTTTAAAGATCGTGCTATTTGATTATGTTACTTTGAATATAGTTAAATGCAATGTTTTAAACAAAGATATTCAAATTCAATTGAAATACCAAATTTGTTTTTTCCATTTTGTTTTTCTAAGCTGACCTCATGATCTCAGGATGCAGCATGCCTGCCATATTGAACCCTGGCAATTAATATTTTCTGGGCAAGACTCAAGACTTCAGTCACTTCTCTGCCTAAGCCCCGTCTATCCCATGGCCTCTGCCAATATTCTTAAACAATTCTTTACTTTTATTTTCAATAGTTATCTTAAAGATAATCAAAACATATTCAAACGCTTGCTTTTATTCCTATATATTCCTTTGCATAAATGCTACATATATCTATATGTAAAGGCATCGAAAATTCTTAAGAATATTGGGTACAAAATTAGTTATTTACCTGAATATCCGCCCGTTAATAGTTTTTTCTTCTTCATATTAGCTTGTTAATGCCAAGTGAAAATTCTGTCGCGCCAAACGTGTGAAATGCTTGTTGCTTGAAACAGCTAGTGCCACGCCCACCTGCTGCGCCCATTTGGCAGTGCATGGCGGGGTGCCTCTGTGGCGCATACGTAATAAGTGCGTGCGTGCGGGTGTGCGGCAAGGCATTTGGCAGTTGCCACAAAATTCAATCAATATAATTGCAACACTTTAGCTAAGAACTTTACTAAAAGCTAGCAACAAGGCATACACACGCACACACACGTGCACACATACACGCGCACACACATGTACACACATACATGTAACTATGACAAAGTACGTAAACAATGTAAAGCGTTTCAAATTTATACGTGAACCTCAAAAAAGTTGCCCCATGGGGCTTGAAGTAGATGGAACGAATCAACTGATGAAGTGCTGCAGGAGGGAACGAGAGAGGCAAAGAGAGGGGAATAGCAACTGTATTTATGCTTAGAAGTTTATGCATTTAATTAAGCCTCTAAAAACTTACGTGCGTGGGGACAACAACAACAAATGTCACAACAACAACTGGAACAACTACAACAATGTTGACGGGTTATAGACGAGCGCGGGGGCGGGGGCGGGAGCTGGGGCTGGGGTCTTGTACAACACATAGTTTGTCATTGCCAGCAAGTGGGCGTGTGTTTCCCTTTTCGGGCACTTTTCTCAGTTTTACGTGCGTCAGTAAATATTTTTGTTTCTTTTTTTGTTTGGCCAACTCAAGTTTTTCCCTCTACCAGCGACATTTCCCAAAAGTTTTTACCGCCGCAACTGCGACTTTCAAATACATTCAATCACTTTTTTTGAAAAGCTCATGTGTTTTCCGTTCGTCTAGCACCAGGAAACAGTTAATTGTAGAGCGTTCGTTAAGACTATGTCAATCAATCATCAAAAAAGCTACAGTAAAGGTAAGTTTAAAGAAAGAACGTGAACTATCAATATATCGGATGTTAACCAACACTGGATACAGATACAGTGTGACCAGATTACTGTTAAGCCCTTTCTTTCTGATAGTTTGTAATAAAAATATGTTCTTGATCAGGCCAAGAAACTGAGTTGATCTAGTCTAGTCCGTATTAATTCAAGAGCCACAAATTTGTAAACTTTTATTTAGTATATTTCTCATAGTTAGTCACAATTGTTGCTTAAATCGAATCACATTCTTTATAACAATCGAATTACATGAGAAAACAGCCACTTTTGTCGCGGTGCTCGGCTTTTATTTCCCTGCTTTGCCTTGCATTGATCAGCTGCAGCTCCTGCTCTTTCGTTTCGGTTTCAGGTAAATCTTCCACAAAGTCCTGGGAATTACTAGTAGCTGCCACCTGCTCTCCGTGTTCATTATCATCCTGCCCCCCCTCGTTATCTGCTGCTAGGATTTGAACACCACATTCGAGGCTCCGTTCATCGGGCTTGAGTGTGCTCTCGCCTAGGTCAGTCTCAACTGGAGTTGGAGTTTCGATAGCTAAGTTCTCGCTCGCTGTGGATGCATCTACGCGAGGATTCGGCTGCTGTTCAGTTTGACTCTTATTCGCCAGAGTCTCGATAGCTGAGTTTTCGCTCGCTGTGGATACATCCACTCGAAGATTCGCCTCCAGCTTTAAAGTTGTGTCTTTTTTGACTGTACCCAACACGGACACAGTCACGCCACATTCTTCTCTTTGTTGCTCTGATGCGGCCAAGGAGCTGCTCGGCTGTAATACATAATGTCGCTGCCGGCTGGTGGATGAGTCCATGCTCTTTTCTGCATTTGGGGGCCGCAACTGAGGCACAGCCACGCTCGATCCCCTCTCGCAGCGTCTGCGCTTGTACGGCGAGTCTATGGTATTACCCAAGCCCAAGGCTTGCTCCTCCCTGTAATGGACATATTTAATGGTTAATGTAATTGATATATTATATAATATGTTTCCTACTCACGCTCTTCTCTTCTCCGCTATTCTAGGACTCCGGCGTGCGTATAGAGGACGTCTACGCGAAACTGGACCCAGTTGTATGCTCAATAGTTCCTTTCTTCTGCGTGCGGAGAGCGGGGAATACCTTTTGGGGGCAGTTATTTGGGGCGTGGACTGCTCGGGCGCCACATCGGGCTGTTCGCTGTGATAAAAGGTAAGGGTATATAACTCGAAGATCTATCAGTTCAAATTACATTATCTCACATTTTCAGGCGAGTTTTGGACAAACGCTTTGCCGTCTTCGGTGTGCCGGGCGTGCCGCATACCTTTGGAGTTTTAGATGCTCGCGCTGCTCGAGCAGATTTCGGTGTCTTTTGGCCTGATCTGGGTGCATGTATGGCACGTCTTCCAAGGATCTCGGTGTACTTGCGTGAACGCAATTCCATTGCCCAGCCAGAAGAGGTCTGTTTGCTCTTCCTGCCCCGCCTGCCGTGACCTGCGTCCGGCGTAGATGACGCCACGGGCCGAGGGCTACTTGGGGCAACCTGTGCCGACGACTCTGCTGATGCTGCTGCTGCCACGCCCTTCACTTTGCAGGTATTCGCAGCTAGGGATGCCATGTCCGAGTCACTATTTTCCTAATATTCGTTGTCTGAAATCAAACACATAAGCAAAATTTAAGCAGATCCTGTCAGATACTGTTAAACGAAATTTACGACAAAGGCTGTTTGATAGGCGTTATATGGCAATTTCTATTTGTAGAACTAGGGCAGGATATTTTCTTAGTGTTAACTCGAGTAACAGGTCCACGCAGTTACAGTTGCCACAATAACAGCATAGACAAAAAATCCATTATTGCGTATGCAAATATTGTTAATGTTTTAATATTTCATTAAAAATGCATTAGCTGATGTTAACTATTTATTCCTTGGGAATCCTTAAAAGTATGACATCGAGGTCCTCTTTATAGTTTCAGACATATCAAGGAATTTGCACCTTGCGTCTAAAATGTGACCATGACCCATCAAATCATTCGTTAATCCCCAAGGAATGGACGAGTTATAAGCATTATAAATCAACGATTTATTGTGCGCACCTTATGCAATAACAATTTTTTTTCCCTTTTGTAGAGACGCAATAGATTTTGTAGACAGGCAAAATGAAAACGTTACTTTTAAATGCTTATAGCTCGGCAATATCCTTGCGGATTAACGAAAGATTTGGTGCGTTATGATAGAAAGGACCAAGCGCATCGACCTGCATAAAAATATACGTCCATGATTCTTGAACAACCAAATTATATTTAAGTGCAGATCGATGCAGTTGGCCCCCAAGATCCAAACGCACCATGTCCTTTGAAAATTTCTATTTTTCTCAAAAGGATATTATTACATAACTGACAATTATTTGGCCACTTCAAGGACTTCCGGCATGTCCTTTGACCATCAGACTGTCCTTAATGTGTCGATTCAGTATACATAACAAAAACAAAGTACGTCTTTCTAACACGAGCATATAGGGACATATCTTTTCTAAATTTAAATGGCTATATCGCAGGCGTATCCCTGCGGATCCTTACACGTTCTTAGACAAGCAGCTTGTATAGATTACAACTATAAATTCAGAGGTGATAAAACCCGTCCTTGTGGCTTCCTATATATGGTTACTTTTCTAAAAGGACATTCTTTTTATGGTCATATCTCGATCTAAAACTAAAGGATATCGGAGAGCTATACATTCTTGACTTCTTGAGAAGTAATACAATCGACAAAAAATATCACTAAAATATTTTACAATCAGAAAATTACCAAACTTCGCAATTTGAAGGACTATTAGTATAATAGATAGTCCTCATCCTCCCATTTACGAATATGCAATCCAAAGGACTAAAGTCCTTCAGAGAAAACTGTATTAAGGATAAATTTGCAGACCGAAAATAGCTTATAACTCGTCCAAAGGACATCAAGATCGTCCTTGTAGTTTCAGAGATATATTCAGATTTTATTGTTATTTTGTGATTTCAACCATTTTTCCTTGCGGCCCGCGACTGAAAAATTATTGTGTCCAAGATTCTACAATTTTGTATTGCAGTTCGATACAGTTGGTCTCCACGATCCTAACGCACCACGTCCTTTGAAAATCTGTAAGGATATGACCGAGCTATGGCTATTTCTTTCCTCAAAATACCCATATATCCTTCTTATGACATTATTAATTCAAATGTGTTTTTATCTTTTTAGATTGAAAGATTAAACGACTCTCATCGATTCTAAGGACCTTCACGAATCCAACAAGATTTTTCTTGGCGGGATCGGAAGTATATTAAGCTTGATATAGTGATTTCAATCGAAACGACATGTAAAAATACAGATTTGTTAATTTTAACAAAAATAAATAATACATTAATAATGATTAAACAAATTACGTTTTTTGTTTAGTTCAAAGGCAAGCGGATTGCCACAAATTCCAAAATCAACGATCGTTATAAAACTGTCCGTTGGCGGCCGACGGCTACCGAGATTTTTCCTAAATTCTGCTAAAATACCAGGCGAACAGAAATGCCCAGAAGGTCGCCAACATTTTTCAGCGGCCAAAAATATTTTGTTGCATACCCAAACGGGGCGCCCTCGGCGGCGACTGGGTCGCCAATTTGTACTAAAATTCTGCCAAAATACCAGGCGAACAGAAATGCTCAGAAGGTCGTCGAAAATCTTCCAATAAAATTGTTCGTTGCATAAGCGTAAGGGCCAAAAATGTAACTCATTTTAAATGAGTTATGTTAAGCTGAAGTCATGTAAATCGAGTGCTGTAAAGTCGACAGTTAATAGCATACAAAGCATACATTATTTTGGATCATTTCAATGCAAATATTGCAGGGATCTGATCCTTTAGGCTGCCAAGAACTAAATCAATGATATGGTATAAACAAAGATAAGACAGTCAACTAGGAAGGGGGCGGGGAATTTGGTGGGGGCTGCTGAAATAGATGCATACATATTTTTGGACCATATTCTTGCGCATTTGCTAGAAGTCGGTCCTCTTGGTTCACTAGGACTATGTCCATGGTATGGAATAACCAAAGGATACATGGGTCAACTAGGTTCCAATATTGTTGATTTGTTTTGTCCTCGTGTGCTGCATATTTGGCTGAAAATGAAAATACAAAAAATAAATTAATAGACGATTTTATCAGGTTTAAACATGCTCCGAACCTTACAAGAAAAGGGTCGTGGCAGTCCTTAAAACCGATTAGAGTCTTTGAATCCTTAAAAAAAAACACATATTTTAATAAGGAAATCAATCAAAAAAATATAGTTCGGAGATAAATGAATATAGCCATAAGTCAGCCAAATACCTACAGATTTTCAAAGGACATGGGGAAGATAATTCTAAGCAAGGGAAATGAATGTCTCTCAAACTCAATTAATTTGTTGGCAAAGTGATAATAACGGAAACGTAAATATGTTTTGTTAAGCGCTCAAAAACGGGCGCACAGAAATCGAGCAAGCAAGCGATCATAAGATAATTTCGCACACAACCAACTCATGCTTTGACCAGTCAGCGATAAACAACTTGAAAAACTCATGAGAGCGCCATGCATAGAGAGTGTGCAGATAACTCAACAGCGAACACACACACCCAAACAAGTGAATCGCAAAGTATGTTTGTGTTTGTGTGTGTATGTGTCTGCCCTGCGTCTGCATTGCGCTCTCTTGATTTTTGATGCTGCGTATCGCTCTAAGCACGATTTACTGTATTCTTAGTCCGCTCAGAGCTGGCGCAGCTTAGTTATGCGTAAGCAGCCACCCACTTGCATAAATAGATAACATTTAGGCAAACGCACACACACGAATAATTCTATGAAGAGGGCATCGACAAATATGTAGACGTGTGCTAATGCGTTTATCGCTTCGAATAAGACCTTTTTCTTTGTCATGCGTCTTGCACTCGCTCAGCTTAATTGCGATTTTGTTTTTTTTTTTTCAAGCTGAAAATTCTGTACAGCTAAAAGTTTTACTGTTGTTCGTTGTGGGAAATTGTGAGGAATGGTAAACGTGACTGACTGCCCTCTATTACGGTAAAATTGGATCAAATTAAAGAAATGAACATTTCAATGCTAATTAACAGTGCTGAGGCGTACGATTCCCAAGAGGTATAACATTTAAAAATCGGACCACATTCAGCCAAGATAATATTAATAAATAAACTGATATTTAAAGCTTATATTACCAAGCTGTAAATGGGGGGGAGGGGCATGTAAAGTTGGAGGAGCGAGCAACAACCAGTCATGGAAATAACCGCTGTGAAAACTTTGCCAGCTGTATTACATTTCGCCTTTAATTTCATTAGATGCCAACGAGCTGGGCGTGTGGTAGAAGGGTTGACGATGCGGGCGAGCGGAGCACGTCGGGGAGCGGGGTACGGGCACACGCAGCGTCAGTAGCCCATAAAATAGAACAAAACACTTGTAAAGTCAGAAGGCGTGCGGGACGGCGGAAGGGCAGGAGTCGAGGAGGCGTGTAGCTCATATTCCAAGGCGACGTCGTTGACGGCATTGCAGCGCAGCAGGGGGGGAGGGCGGCATGCTGGCGACGAGGAGGCGGGCGTGTCTGCCGTGCAGATAGAGCAGCTCTGGCGGGATCAGGATGCCTTTTTCGTGGCAGGACGTCGCGTTGGAGTTTATTATTTAATACTTTTAACGTCGTGCGTGGAAATTAGCAGCCATAAATCAATGAAACGACTCGCACAAGTCCACAATTAGCCGCCCGCCTCGGACTGCGTCCGCCTCGTGGATGGACAGCCTGAAATTATAAGAACCAGTTGGGTAATTAATTTTAATGTTGTGTCCATGAGATGTGCGCGTGTGTGCGCGTGTATGTGTGTGTGCGTGTGTCTGTAGGAGGCATTAACAGTTGCCGAAGCTCGCTGAACAAGCGGCTAAATAAAGCGAGTAGTTATTATTACATACATACATACATACATATATGTAATTGGATTTCGGGCAGTAAACAAATTTTGCATATAAACAAGGGTTTCCACTTGCGCCCATATGTCCATAATTAGGCGTGTACTTAACAAGCTGGCAGACAGCTCTTTGGATTCTCTTAAATACATATTTAAATACTAGGATATACAAGTTGAGTTCACATTGCAGAGTGAAGCACTATTATTATATATGTGTAATATAAAAGAATTATAAAAATTAAAAGAATATTTACAATCACTTAATTAATATTTCTTCTTATATATTGCCAATTATTTTAAGTTGAATAAATCATATAATTTTCATACATCTTTTCGCTTTAATTATTTAACTAATTCTAGCAATAAAAATGACATTTTTGTTTGTATACTGTATTTGTCATATATATATATGTATCATTATATTATATCAAAAAAAACTTGTCTTTTAACATGAATAATTGCAGCGCATCCCACTTTACAGGTCTATGTTAAGTTGCTGCTGTTAATAACAGGCGCTCATCTTAACTGGCAGCTGTTGATTGATTTTAATTCAAATGCGTTTAACTTTGACTAAGCGCACGCGAGCTTATGAGAGCAGAGAGAAAAATCGAGCAGAGAACACACGCACACACGCACACCAAACAGCACCGTGCAATTATAATCTTTCGAGCTC